ATTCCTCCAGTCTTCAGTGTCACATGATCTTCAGAAATCAGTATAATATGCTGAGAAACATTCCTGATTATTATTAATGTTGAAAACAGTTGTGCTGCACAATATTTTTGTGGAAACCGTCATACATTTAATTTTTTTGAGGATTCACAAATGAACAGAAAGTTCAAAAGAACAGCATTTATTTGAAATATAAATATTTTGGAACATTATAAATGTCTTGAATAAAAGTATTAATTTCTTTATGGGCCTCAAATGTTTGAACAGTAGTGTATTGCAAACAATAAATTACATGCACACCACGTTTACATATTACCTACTGTTCTTTTTTTGTGAAATAATCCTTCAACCTGTGAAAAACTAGTGTTTTTTTGTCACATAACTTCATTGCATGTTAAGTGATCATCTCAGAAGTCTTGGTTTTCCTAGAAATGGCTCAGTCGTCTGTAATTCTCTGATGTTGTTGAGAGATTCATTCATTTTGAAGAGATCAGAGCTGGAAGCCCTTCAGATTTTTCTCTCTCGCTGCACATTATATGATCAGAAACACAGAGATGTAATGCTTTAGCGACGTCACCCAGCCCTTAACTCCAGCATTATCATTATCAGGCTTCCTATCTGCATGGCTTGTTTGGCTTGGATTTCCTCTTTACTGGGCTTTCTGTAATCAGGGAGGGTTTTCCCAGTGGATTCTTAAATACGAAGGATTGTTTCTCAGCTGTAGATGTTTTAGTCTTTTATTTTAGGGGTTATGTATATATATATATTTTTTTTTTTCTAAATATGAAGCATGTGGTCTGCAGTGGCCCCAAATAATCAAAAGTTACTTGTTTGTTTGTTTTTCCAATTTTTAGTTATTTATTTTTCTAATTTCTATTTTATTTGTTTGTTTGTTTTTCCATGTTTGTTATTTATTTTTCTAATTTTTATTTTAATTATTGATATTTATTTATTCATTTTTATTTTTTATTTTTCCTATTATTTTTTATAATTTTATAATTTATAATTATTTTATTTAATGTTTTTGTATTTCAATTTTTTCTTTATAATACTATTCTTATTCTTGCCTATGTTTATGCACTTACATATTTATTGATTCTTATTTTGTTCATTCTTATGTATTTAACATTTTTGTATTTATTTATTATTTTTCTAATTTTGATTATTTGTTCATTATGTATTTGTGTGTGTGTGTGTATATATATATATATATATATATATATATATATATATATATATATATATATATACATACATATAATTTATATAACTTGTTTATTCTTATTTACCCTTTTTATTTCATTTAAATGGATCTTTATCTATCTATTTATTTTATCTTATTTTCTGTTTGTGAACTGTTTGTGTGTCTTTCTGTACAGTATTCAGAGGCTTTTATTCTGTGCCGCACGTGACTGAGATCCTCAGACGTGTTTGTCTCCTCGTGTCGGCGGTTCTTTATGCATCATGAATGCCGTCTGGAGCGCATCCCACCCGTTCTAGACGCTCTTCGCAGCTGAGTTTGCTTTCAGAGCGGCTCCTGATGCGTTGAGACGAGAGAGTGTCGTGTCAGATACTGATGTCAGCTGTTTAAAGTGTTGACAGTTTCCATTAAGAGCTCTGAATCCCACATACTGTACAGTCAGGCTTGAAGATCAGCAGTAAATCAGGCCGCTTCATAGTAAACAGTCAGGTGCTCTGCTTCTCATCTGGAATAAAAGCACTTCATTAGTGTTGTTTGATATGGAGAAATCACAGACTGGTTAGTTCATGTGTGTCAGTCTGGTAATAGACACGGAAATAAGAACTGGCTAAAATATCCAGATGTAATGAGATGCATTGTGAGCTGCTCTAATGAAGGTTTGTGGATTAAAGGCTCTGGAGTCAGAGCTGATGATGCTTTCTCTTTGGATTATTTGCTCATGAGAGCTTGAGGAAACTGATGGTACTTTAATGTTGTAATATCTGGATTAGTTTACCGGCTCGGTTGCATTAGTTTGCTGGCTAATTGCCGGCATGAAAAGTTTTCAAAATTCACTTTTAATTACACAGTGGTAGTATCTTAGTATGCCAGAATCCTAGGGCCTGTTAGTAATTAGATTGTACACTTTCTAATGTAAGTGTGAGTGGTGCTTACTTGCTGCAGTGATGCTGAGGCGTTGTTAAGTTATTGCTTTGTGTCAGCTTCTGTTCTCTAGATATGATGTGGTTTCCTCCTTCAGTGTCTCTTGAGTCTCCTGTTTTGTTAGTTAGTTAATTTATTTTTATTTTTTATAAAAAACAATTTTTTTTATTATTTAGTTTATATTTTTAGTTATAGTTAATTTATTTTATTCTATTTCTAATTTGTTTTTAAATTTTTATTGTATTTTATTTTCCTAATTTTTATTTATCCAATTTTTATTTATTATATTTTAACATTTTATTTATTTATCAGACAGCAGACAGTCAAATATCATCATCTGTGAATCCTGAAAAAATAAAATGTATCACGGTTTCCACAAAAATATTGATGTTTTCAACATAATAATACTCAGAAATGTTTCTAATAATCAGCATATTATACTGATTTCTGAAGATCATGTGACACTGAAGACTGGAGGAATGATGCTGAAAATACAGCTGCGCATCACAGAAATACATTACAGTTTAACAGATACTCACATAGAAAACAGCTGTTTTAAATTGTAATAATATTTCATAATTTTTACTGTATTTTTGATAAAATAAATGCTTCGTTCAGAAACATTAAAAATCATAATTATATATATATTGTATCTGTATGTATAAGTGTGTATGTTTGTTGCGTTTTCAGAAGGCTTGGCTGAATCATTTGTTTAGCTCAATTCTTCCCACAAAAGTTGTTTGAGAGTTGATGTATTTTAGTCTGAACTGTTTGAGTCTCTGCGGATCTCGCACTGAAGTGTGTTTGGTGAAACTCGGCCCGTGTAAGTGAACCGCGGGTGATGGTTAGAGACGTTCACGGGATGCTCCTCTTGAATGTTTAATGGCAGACCGCTGACATGATGGTGCTCTGGGCCTTTTGTGCTGCTCACAGGCCGGCGGCGATGGAGTGGCCGGTAGGTTCACACGCTTTAGATTAATGCTCGTGAGTGTGAGTGTGTGAGTGTGTGAGTGTGTGTGTGTGTGAGTGAGTGTGTGTGTGAGTGTGTGAGTGTGAGTGTGTGTGTGAGTGTGCGTGTGGGAGTGTGGGAGTGAGTGTGTGTGTGTGAGTGTGAGTGTGTGAGTGTGTGAGGTGTGTGAGTGTGTGAGTGTGTGAGTGCGTGAGTGCGTGAGTGCGTGAGTGTGTGAGTGTGTGAGCGTGTGTGCGAGTGTGCGAGTGTGCGAGTGTGCGAGTGTGCGAGTGTGCGAGTGTGAGTGTGTGAGTGTGTGAGTGTGTGTGTGTGTGTGTGTGCGCGTGCGCGTGTGAGTGTGAGTGAGTGTGTGTGTGTGCGAGTGTGTGTGCGCGTGCGAGTGCGAGTGTGTGCGTGAGTGTGTGCGTATGCGTGTGAGTGTGTGTGTGTGTGCGTGAGTGTGTGTGCGTGAGTGTGTGTGTGCGAGTGTGTGTGCGCGTGCGAGTGCGAGTGTGTGCGCGTATGCGTGTGAGTGTGTGTGTGAGTGTGAGTGTGAGTGCATTTGTGTGAGTGTACGTGTGAGTGTGTGTGTGTGCGTGCGTGCACGCGCGCGTGTGTGTGTGTGTGTGTGTCACATTTTATTTGTTTGTTTTTTCCTTCAAGGACAAGCATGTCGACAGCATTTGATGATTTGACCATAATAAAAGAATCCAATTCATCAAACCAGACATGTGTGTATGAGTGTGTATGTGTGTGTGTGTGTGTGTGATGGAAATGTACTGTAACGCAGCAGCTGAATCGATGTCTGAACTGAGATGAAAGTCCGAACCTCGCAGGGGTCTGAACCGCACCAAACCTCTGAAGAAAACCAGCAGCACTGTACGCCTATGGATAGCAAACCAGACATGTGTGTATGAGTGTGTATGTGTGTGTGTGTGTGATGGAAATGTACTGTAACGCAGCAGCTGAATCGATGTCTGAACTGAGATGAAAGTCCGAACCTCGCAGGGGTCTGAACCGCACCAAACCTCTGAAGAAAACCAGCAGCACTGTCTTTTGGATTTGTGAACGTGGACGTGACTTTAACAATCAGAGCTCAACTTTCACACGTCTTTTCACTGCAGACAAGGATTTTTATCTCGTTTTTGCGTTAAAAAAAAGGCAAAGATGCTTAAAAGGAGATTTACTTCAAGGAAAACCATGCATGATGATTGTTCTTACCACACTGCCACACTTTATTTAGAATTTTGTTGTAATATTTCAAAATAATTCTTTTTTTAATTTAACTTTTTAATGATTGGTTTCAAAATGTTCTATTTGTTGTTGTTTTTTAAGTTTACAATTATTTATTTTAATTGTACATTTTTAATGATTTTATTAATTTTCAGCAATTTTTTAAATTTTTTAAATATTTATTTTAAATTTACATTATGATTTTAGTAGGTTTTAGCAAGTGTTCATTTAATTTTAAAATATTTTCATTTTTAACGATTTTATTCAAGTATTTTATTTAGATTTATTTGTATAATTTAAAATAATTAATTTTTAATTTGAATTTTTAAAGATTGTAATGATTTAGATTTTTTATTGTACAATTGTTTATTTAATAATACTATTTTAATAATTTTTGTCAAGTATTTTATTTAGATTTGTGATTTGAATGTGACAACTTGCGCCGCCGTTTCACTGCAAATTTCACTGCATTTTGTTGTTTTTATTTAAATTTTATTTTTGCATTTTAAAAATGAATAGATGCTTAAAATGAGATTTACTTCAAGCTAAATTGTGCATAAAAATTGCAAGGAAAAATAAACGGAACTCTAAAAAGAAAGTCATCTTTTCCGACACAGTCTTGCATCTGAAGTAAATGCATCTTGTTTTAAGCACATTCCTGGTGGAAAGCCACAGTGCTGATGACGTTCTTCTCCTCAGATATGTGTCACCAAGATGTCCACTCGCAGCTGCCAGGGATCGGACTCGCTCATCAGGCCCCTGGACACTATCCCTGAGGACCGGAAGGTGCGTGTGCAGCGGACGCAGAGCGGCTTCGACCCCTTCGAGAAGCCGGCTGGTCAGGTGAAGCGCGTGCACTCAGAGAACAACGCCTGCATCAACGCCAAGAGCTCGTCCTCCGGCAAAGAGTCGCCCAAACTCCGCCGTCACTCCAGCCCCAGCTCCGTGAGTGAACGCTCGTTAAATATCATTATAAAGCGGAGCGTTCCGGTGCTTGGCTCTGATTGGCTGAGCCGCGTTCGAAGCTGTTGTAAATGACGCTACAAAGTAACACACCTTTGTTTACGTTTGTGTGTTGCTCGGCAACCACTTTGTAGCAACCACAACTGTTTCTGAGGCGCTACATTGTTTGGTGGAAGAATACTGTGTTTATTAATATCATTACTCTTTATTTGCTCTGTTTTATTTTGTGAAACCTTACTACGTATATGGAGTAACCGTTTTATAAAAGCAATAACCCCCGAGAAGCCGTGGTTTACAGTGAATTTATAACAGCTAAGGGGGTTTAACTCCGCTTCACGTTGTACTTAACAACCCCCTAGCTAAAATATTAAGTTGTTAATATATCAATAATTTATCAACACTTTCACGCTTCTCTGATGTTGGTTAATAGTCGTATTACATACAGGTATACAACTACAATATCTCAAATATCTTTTTAAAAAGTGTTTAATTTTTACTTTGTTTTTATTTATTCAGAAATGTATTTATTTATTCGGATTGTACATTAAGGTTTTATACGTTTTAGTAAGTGTTTTATTTAGATTTTTTAATCTTATTTTTAATAATTATTTGTTTTATTAATTTTTGTACTTTTTTATTTTGAATTCTTATTTTAAATGGGTTCATTTTAATTTTTTTTTTCAATTTTAATAAGTGTTTTTAGATTTTTACAAATTATTTGTTTTAATTTTACTTTTAAATTATTCATTTTTAGTAAGTTTTTATTTTTACTTTTTTTAATTTCTATTTGATTTCACTTTTATTAGTTTTAGTAAGTTTTTTTAATTGATTTATTTCAATTTTACTTTGTTTTAATTTTTAGCATTTTTTGTTTTTAAATATTTATTTTACTTTTAATTTTTTGTGAGTTTATTTTTTAATTGTTTTTCATTTTACTGTATGATTTTATTCATTTTCAGTAATAGTTTTATTTTGCATTAAAAAAATATTTATTTTAATTGTAACTTTTTAATGATTTTATAATTTTTTAGTACGTTTATTTATTTAAAAATTATTTGTCTTCATTTTTTTACATTAATTATTTTATTAATGAGCTATTTTCGTAGACCCCACTTTGTTGAACCTTACATACAGCATTTTGTACAATTACTATATTTATTTCAATTTAATTTAAAAAGAGACTAGATGCTTTCTAAAGTATGTAACTCCGAAATCAAGACACGTTTGACCTGAGAGAGAAAAATGAAGGATGCTGATTCACAGCAATGAAAAATGGATGAGCGTCAGGCCAGATAGAAGGATTGGAGAGAGAGAGCCTGACCTCTTTCCCATCACACCCTTCTCCTTATCCTCCCACAGACCTTCTTACTTAGAAAATCCACTCAAACCTGTTCTCCACAGGGCCCCTGCGCTCCCGACGCCTCGAGCAGGATAATAAAGGCGTGCTGAGGTGATATTTAGAGACTGCTGGTGTCTGGTGTTGGGTTTGCGGTTACAGCTGCATCGGAGCGAGCGCTTATCCGGGAAGAGTCCGCTAATCTTTCACACCGATCGCTGCGGAGGATCAGGCTACAAACCTGATTACTGAAGAAACGCCAGCATCACTGCCGCTGCGCATTTGCTCTTCAGCCCTTCATGAAGACCTTTGAGTTGCATTTTACTGTACATATTACTCTGAGAAAAAGTAAACTAAATGAAACACTTACTAAAAACAAATAAAATCAAATGTATATATAAATACACACACATACAGTATATATTTAGAAAATATTTACATGTCTGTATTTATATTCATATAATTTATATTATAAATAAATGTATTTAATATAAAAACATAACATATTTTTCTGAAATATATACATGCATGTGTACATATATATATGTTATGTAAACAAAAACTTTTATTTTGCATGCGATTAATCGTTTGACAGCACTAATAAATATATAACATAAAAGATTTTGAAATAAAAAATCAAAATACAAAAATGTAAATGAATAGTCATTTAAGGCACTTTTAAAATAAACTTTTTATTTTAATTTTTTAAATAAATTAAATACATTTTATTTTTTAAATAAAAAAAATAAGGCAAGCGAAATCTCTTAACATTTTTAAAACTAATTTCTTTAGGGTAGTTTTTATTTGAATTTTTATATTAATTATATATGATTTAATTTTTAAGTGTTTTGAATGCATGTTTCCTTTTTTTGCTTATTTTATAATCTTTATATGGTGTATTTTGATGCTTTATTTGTTTATGTAAAGCTCTTTGAGATGTAACATTTGAAGGCGCTATAAAAAATAAAGATTATTATTATTATTAATGTAAAATATTAATATGATTATATAATTAATAATTTAATAATAATTAATGCATTTAGCAGACGCTTTTATCCAAAGCGACTTACAGTGCATTCAGGCTATACATTTTTTACCAGTATGTGTGTTAATTTATTAATTGTATTATTTGTATTTAATTTTATTTTTAAATTATTTTTAAAATGTGAATTATTTTTATTACTCTTATAAAGCGAAAACAAGCGTTCACTTTTGATCTAAGAACATGTCTCTCTTACTGTAGGTGATCTCACAGTCTGAAGCTTCTGTAATAGGAAATGAACATGCTGTCATGAATAATTAAGAGCAGCATCTTCTCATTGGATGAAGACACGCATTCTCATGAATAATTATGAGACACAGATGAGTCACCAGTGTAATACAGGTGTTAGAAAAAAACGGCACAAAAATGAACCAGAAGAATAAAATTCCTCTTCAAATTAAAATTAGTGTCTTATATGATGTATGTATGTTAAAATGTAAAAGTAAAAATTGTGAAATATTATTTCAATGTAAAACAGCTGTTTTCTATGTGAATATCTGTTAAACTGTAATATTGTGACCCATACAGTGTATTGTTGGCTATTGCTACAAATATCCCCCAGCGACTTAACACTGCTTTTGTGCTGCAGGGTCACAATTTAGAAAAAAAGTAATTTCATATTGGCCCTATTATTGTTCACATTTTAATGAATTATTTTAAATGTAATTATTATTTTTTTAAATATTAAAAGTTTTATGAATTCAATTGATTAGATATGCTTTTTGATTATTACAGTTTAATTAAACCGTTAAACCAGAAGCCAGAAATATCATCGAAACAGAAAACACAGAGTTTGGGAGAAAGTCAAACAGATTTCATATGGCTGTATATGAGAGGCGAAATTATCCGTTGTGTCTCTTTATGACAGTTTTATGAGAGGCACTGATGAAAAACAGAGGCGGAGCAAAACTACAGAGAAATGGTTTTGTGGCTTTAAATAAAACGTATTTTATTTGTGCTTGATTTGTGCCTAGTTCGCAATCAGTGAATGCCACACATTCATGCCTAACGATCGCTTACCATTGACAATGTTTACATTATGGTTTTATATTAGAATATGCATATCTCATGTCTCTCGCCTTTTTGAATGAGCAGCTGAAGTAGTAAAGCATAGACATTGCAAATTAAGATTCCCTGTGTATTTCAGGCTGGTTTATGATTAAAAATCCAGTATTATACATGTTTTGTTATTATTAATTCTTTGGTTCCCATATTTCTCTCATCTTTTTGAACGACCTGCTGGAAGTAGTATAGTGCAAACATTTCAAAATAAGAGTCACAATGTATCTCCGACATGATTGAAAGTGATTAAAAGTCCTTCATTATGCATACAATCTGCCCCATCACGGGAAAGAAAGACTAAGAACATTATTTAACATTCACTATGTTGATTTGTTTTAATATCGGCACAATAATCTTTTATATGCCTTTCTTTAAACACATTATCATACAGCAAAATGCAGTATCAATCTCTACTTCATGTGAATTGAAATATGAAAAACATGCAGTAAACCAATTTCAATACCTATGTAAATATTAAATAAAACTTGAAGTGAGTATTTAAACTTGCAGTTACTCTTTTGCAGTTGAATGTGCTGCAGTCTCTTTAATTACTCAAAATAATCTGATACCTCATTTAGTTTGAGATTGTGTGGGTTTGTTTTGTAACTGCATGCGGTGTTAATTTTATTTGTGCCTGCTGTGTTTCTTTGACTCGTTTAGTAACGGGACTGTAAGCAAAGACGGCGGCAGATAATTATTATGATGTGAAATCTTATATATTCTTCATATTGCTGTAATAAAACCAGAGCCTGAGAAAATCTGGAAAATAAAATTCCAGCCAGCGTGAAATGAATAGTGCGTTATTGTCAGTGTTTTTCATAGTAATGATGGTGTTTGTGTGTAAGTTCATTATGACCTGCGCGTTCAGATTCACTTCACTGCCTCCAAATTGCATTTCATCGACTTAAAGTGACAGTAAATCACTCCTGACCCGGTTTATTGTCTTCAGACTCGCTCCTGGTCTCAATGAGCACAAACCATCAGTGCTTTTTATACAAAAACACAAAACAGTTTCTCTGTAGTGTTGCTCCACCTCTGAAACCACTTTCCTTTTCTTATTACATCATCAATCCCTCCTATCAAACAATATTCTTTGGATAATAGTCAATCGGATAAAATCATATTGCATATATGCTTTTCTTAAAATTCTGGGTTTTCTGTTTCTATTTCTGGATTCGGTTTTATTGGTTTAATTAAATTAGATTAAAAAAAAGCATGTCAATCAATTTAATTCATAAAACCTTTCAAATCAAATTTTTTTATAATTATTCAAATGTCAAATAATGAATAATAATTTATTGCAACACATTTATATACATACAGTATATTTCATTGTATTGTTTTTATTAAATTTTTTCCAAAATTCTGTTATTTGTTTTAATTGTTCTAAATTCTGTTTTATCATTTAATACAATTTTAACTATTTAATCTTTTAAAATAAAACAAAATGCTAATTAAATCATTCCTTTACAGCAAATGATTGCATTGTTAAATCAAATATAATTATTATAATTAATAAATATAAATAATTAAATAAATTAGATAGGTAGATACATTTTATTTATTTATTTAAGATAGTTTCCTTTTCTGCCAAATGCACACAAATGTCACGAGCTGCTACTGTGAGGAGCACGGAGCGAGGAACGAGGAGATGTGGAGTAGACTTCAATAAATAGACTTTAATAAACATCCAACGGAAGTAGGAACACACACGTAGCGGGGAAAGATGAACATTGAATACCGGACGAACTCAGAAAGCACAGACAGGACCTTAAATACATGGAGTAATTGACAACACACACCTGGAACAAATGAAACAATTAACATAGGAAAACTGGGTCGTGGAGCACGTGGAGAGGGAAAAACACACAGAATGAGTCCAGGGGCGTGACAACAAGTCTATTAAAACATTTATAAAATAGTTTGAATACACGTAAATAAATAAAAAAATTAATTCAGTGTAAAACAGTATATTATTATAATATAATATATATTACAATTAAATATATAAATAATATTATGTATATTTTGGATCACTGAATATACGGTTTCACGCAGCAGTATTATTTATTTATTTATTTGTTTGTTTGTGTTAAAGCGGCTTGCATTGGATTTCAAAGTATACATTTTTTTTTTTGTATTGTACATTTTTATTGCCCGTGATCTCAGAGTTTGATTTACAGGAATGTTTATACAGTGCACTCTATTTTTTATGTAATACAGATGAATATCAAACCGGTTGATGTTGTGTGTTTTTAGGGTAAATGGGAAGCTGGTTGCATTGAAAGTGATTCGTCTGCAGGAGGAAGAGGGAACGCCGTTCACAGCGATTAGAGAAGGTGAGCGATCTCTCCATCACTTGCCAGTAGGGCTGGGCGATATGGCAAAACATTATTAAAATTATTTCAGAGCGTTTGACCGATTCTCGATTTTTAACTAGTCAACTTGAAAATGTATTTTCAACATGATTCAAGATACTTTTTCTTTATTAACCATCGAGTTAAAGAAAATTCTATTTCAAGTGCACCACACATGAAGTTGTCAACATTATGTAAATGTTAAACAAATCTCTTGTTAAATATCTTTGCAGAAAAAGATGCATTTAAATCCAAAATGACTGAAGGTATAACACCAGTAGACTATTATTAACTATAAATGTTCTGTAAAAACAATGAACAGCAGCTTTCAGCCGGTCATCATGATGCAAACATGAAATATCAGACATACAGCAGTAGTTACAGGTTTTTATTATTTTATTTTATTTTCTGTATAAACATGGACGGGCTTGAATGTTAGGCTCGCGTCTCTTGCAGCATCTCATGCATGAAACGGCATTCTAAAAACACTGTGCTCAAGTTAAAAGAAGTTCATTCCCATCTTCTTTCATGTTTTTCCTATTCCACTGCGTCACGTCTTTATTAATACAAAAGCGCATTCTGTGTGAATGGCGTCTAACGATATATTCTACTTACAATCCTTCACAGAGCGGTTAATCACGTGCGCCGACATGCGGTTGGATCGTTCTTTTCTCTTTACTGTTATCACTGGCATATTGCCAAAGTGTCTAATTCTTACATTTGGTAATATTTCTATTCAAAATCGTGATTCTTTGATTTCTAAAAAAATTATTTAATCGTGGCAAAACATTAAATTCACCGTAAAAAAAAATCTGTAAATTATACGTTCTTTTTCACTTCCAAAAACGGTATACTACCGTAAAATGACATGTAATGTCCAATACAGTTTTGTAGTAGGGGAACTTACCGTTAACCATTTAACAGGTTTTTACTGTAGCATTTCTACAGTCTTTTACCGTTAAATTAACGGTCATTTTTTACAGTGTTTGAATTAATCGATAAAATCTGAAAAATCGCCCAGCCCTACTTGCTAGTGTTAATATATGTGTTTCATGTGGCCTTCATATAACAAAGAGAAACTGAAGTTAAAGTCTGGCACCTGAAAGGTGTTTTTCTCTCTCTCTGTTCTGAGCGAAGCGTGTGAGAATCTCTCTGCATTTTAATTGCGCTGCGTGTTTTTGATCTGCGTGATCCGGGCCAATCATCCGGGGCTGCGCGGATCAGAAAAAAGCTTTGAACATTGAACTTATTCAGCAATTACTGGAGATGTTGAGGCCGGCAGAACTTGAGCAGAATGAGAGAGAAACGAGGAATTAACACACTTAGTGAGCTTACTGCACAGGCAGGATTTTAAGGCCTGATTTTGACTAAATCGAAAGCAACATTGCATGCGTTTCTTGTGGAGAATGATTTTCAGTGTGAGAACAGATCGTGAGCAACAAACAAGCGCTGCTCAAAATCAACCTGATCGTGTTCAACTTACAGGCAGAAAAGTGTACAGCAGACTTCATAAATCTGCTCTGTGTGAATAATCGGTCTAAAGAAATAAAAATAAAATAAGTTTCTGAGCTGGGCAAGAAAATGAGAAAAGAGCTGAAGTTAGTCATTGCTCAGCGAGGGATTGACAGTCAGCATGAAGTTCATTTTTTATGTTGTTCATATCTTTATTTTTAATCATTTTATGTGATTTGTGTCTTTTGATCAAATCTATTAATGATACTCACAGATGTTGGCTGTTATTGTTATTGTTATTATTATTATTATTATTATTATTATGTCATCATGTAGTTCTGTCTCTGTTTGACTTTCTATCTTGTTTTTTTCTGAAGCATAAAATGAGAATATCCAAGCTTCGGTTTTTCAAATGCTGCAAGTGTACAGTGATTTATACTGTCAACTATTTTATTTATTTATTTTATTTTAAGTACTTTATTTTAGTTTATTTTATTTTATTGTATTGTTGTATTTTAATTCATACATAAAAATTAACAAATAAATGTCATTATTATTTTATTTTATTCCATTTTCTTGTTTTAATTATTTTATTTCATAATATAATTAAATAAGAATTACTCAAAAAATTAATTAACAAATAAATATAAAAATTATTTATTTATTACTTTATTGCATTTTATTTTACTTCAGTTTATTGTACATTTTTGAATATTTACTTTTTATTTCACTTGCATGTTCTTATTTATTATTATTATTTATAATGTTATTTTTTATTATTGTTTATAATTATAATAATAATTCTAAAAATACAATTATTATTACTTTTTAATTTTTGGTCAGTGAGGGATTGACAGCTGATCAAATCCATGATACTGATACTTGCATAGGTTTTTTATTTATTTATTATTATTAATTTAATTTATTATTATTAAAGAAGAATTATTAACAAGTAAATCCAGATACACAAAATATAAGAGCAATCGTAAACTGTAGAACAGTGTTTAAGAGAAGAAAAATAAATAAAATAAACAAATAACCACAAAATATTTTTTTTTTATTAATTTGCATTAGAGACTTTTTCAAAACTTCCATTCCTGACAAAAATAGATTACACTTTGGTTGGTATGCATTTCGCAAATGTCTGTTTATGACTATAATATTTACCTTGCAAAATGTAAAAGTTAACAACATACTCAATCGTTTTACTTTTGTGTGAATAAATACAAATAACATCTTTTAAAGATAACACGTAATTAACATTTCTTCGCAGAAATAGAAAGGCACTAACATCAGACCAAAATCTAAGAGACAAATCACAATTATAAAACAAATGACACAAGTCTTCCTCGTGTAAAATATAGTGTAAAGTGATTTTATTAATTAGTATTTTCATATATGATGTATATGACAGCAGGATTGACTCGCCCTAGTTTTGCTCGATATGTGAGCTTTCGTTTTGCCCTTGAAAAATGAACTTGAAGTGTTTCGCTCGGTCTTTGTAGTAAATGAAAACGTTCGGAGTGCTTTCTTCTGGATTGAGACGAGATTTCTGTGTTCTGCAGCCATCGCGTTTTGTAATGTGAAGAAAAACACATCTGATCTGAGAAATATGGCAAACACACTCATAAAACATCAATGTAAACGAAGGCTTTGCTGCTGATGATTAGCTTTAATTACAGTGTTCGTGTGTAACTCGTTAGCTGGAATAATAGACAGGAAGCTCAGAGAGCCGCTTCCTGTCCCTGCGGCGATGCTTTCTCCGTTATATATTATATATTACATTCTCTAATATGTGGAGTAATAGTCATTCTGTCCTCAGCAGCATGCTTACTTTTCATTTCCTTTTGATTTTTTTATAAACCTTTGAAGATTCAAAGCCTTAAAAGCTATTTGTTCTTTTATTTATTGCTCTTTTATTTGAAGCTTGACACTTCACACATTTTGTGTTATTAGACTTCAAGGTGCTTCACAGCCACAGTTTCTGTTTCCCTTTTTCTGTGTGGAAAATTGATTTAAAATTATTTAAAATTATTATGAAGCACTTTGGATAATACAAAATATTATATCTTGCTTTCATCTGAAACATAAAAGTAGAAAGTCCACGGTTAATGAAGAATGTCTAGGATTCTGTTTTCCATATAGTGCAAATGCACAGTGATTTATACTATCCAGTATTTTAATTTAATTTAATTTAATTTAATTTAATTTAATTTAATTTAATTTAATTTAATTTAATTTAATTTAATTTAATTTAATTTAATTTAATTTAATTTAATTTAATTTAATTTAATTTAATTTAATTTTATTTAATTTTATTTTATTTTATTTTATTTTATTTTATTTTATTTTATTTTATTTTATTGGGCACATTTATTTTGTTATTTCTCTAAAGTATTTTTTAAATAAAAAATATTTAATACTTTATTGCATTTTATTTTAGTTTATTGTAATTTTATTTTAATATTTATTGTTTAATTAAAATATTTTATTTAATACTTTACTGCATTTTATTTTACTTTAAGTTTATAAAATTTTAGTTGTAGTAAATTTTTTTAAATAAATGTTTTAAAATGTATTTATTATAATAAGAATTGTAACAATAATAATATAATAATAATAATAATAAATAAATAAATAAAAATAAAGTAATAATAAAAGCCTAATAAAAACAATAGTTCTGGTCAAGATTGGGTGCAAGTTCATTATATATATATATATATACATATTAGTTATTTTGGCGGTACATCTAGATACAGGGTACATCTAGGCGTGAAAAGCCTCTTATCAGCAAAACTTCTAGCTTTTTATATATAGAATCCAGGAACAGCTGTCTGACAGATAAATGAACATCTCTGCTGTTTCAGATGTTAAAATGCACAACTCCAGTTCTTAATACGAGTCATTGGTGTGTTAATGAAGCGTTTGTGTTTGTGTTTGTGTGCAGCGTCTCTGCTGAAAGGCCTGAAACACGCCAACATCGTGCTGCTCCACGACATCATTCACACCAAGGAAACCCTGACGCTGGTCTTCGAGTACGTGGTGAGTATCACAACGTCTCCTTTAGAAATAGTGTTTAATCCCTGTTATTTTCTGTAACTCCACTCCTGTTGTGTTTGAGATGCTTTTATATGAGCTTTACTCAGCATTCCTCCAGCCTGAGGTTTTCCTCATGCTTTGAAGCTTCAGTCCTGCTTCTCGAACCGCTCGTTCTCCACACAGAGCTCCGCAGGCGACAGAGCTGCCAGTTAAAGCACAGGATACGAGTTCTGTCATCGTTTACTCAGCCTCATGCCGTTCTGGCCCTGCCTGATTTTCCTAATGGCTTTCTTCTGTCAAGCACAAATACACATATGTTACTTTTAGGTTCTTATTTATTATTATTTAGAATTGTTTGTTTATTTTTTTATTATCTATCATTTATTTATTTATTATAATTATAAATATAATAATAACCCTAACAATATAATAATAGTAATGCAAGTGAACAGTGATTTATACTGTCCAATATTTAATTAAATTGTATTTTATTTTATCTTGGGCACATTGTTATATTATATTATATTATATTATATTATATTATATT